ACACACATACGTACACAAACACTATCAAGTTGCTAAAACTATTGCATATCTTAGTTCCACCTGGATTGAGCTTCTACTTTTTCCACCTGATTGTGAATACTAATAATCTCTCTCTTTCTTACACACTTTCCTGGGCACATAAACATCTCATCAACTCTTGTCATTCCAGATCCAGCACTTTCCTCTTACTGGTTGTGTTCCCTATTAATTATTCAATATTAAAACATCATTGCACATCATAATTTGATATTTTTTTCAACAAAGTACAACACTTTTCTACAGTGAATTCTTTATAACATTCACCTTACATAGTATATTATTTGAGACTTTAAGTTAGAGTCAGGCTACCACAGTGGCAATATGTCACTAATTAACTGTAGGTAGTTTTCAAAAGAGCTACTTTTGTACTTTGACTAAAGTACTTTTCAACACAAATAATCTGACTTACTTTCAAGTATTCCTTCATAACAAATCCATCTTGCATTTTTGTTTTCTTTTGTTCGTTTTTGTCTCTTTATATCATGACCTCTCTCTAAAATCTCACACATCATGAACCCACGTCCCGCTGAGGCCAACAGGAATTAAAGTGTACTGGTGCATTTCCAAGAGGTGACGAATGACTTTCCACTCGGCTTCACAGTGTCACCAGCACACATCACTCCCGCCGCCAAACCCTGACCCACCGGCCCCCCCCACTTCCGGGAAAGCAGAGCCGATCAATCACATAGACGGATCAATGCCTCTGATTGGGCTGTTGCATAAGGCTGTTTTATGAGGTCACAATGCCAGCCGGTGGGCAGGAAGCAGAGACGCTGTAAACACCCCGCCTTCTGAGTAAGTGACTGGCCAATCGAGACATTCGACTGTGAGTAAAGGTTGGATTCTATTGGCTGACAGCGGTGATGTCAAACCAGAGAGCGATCGTTTTAATGAACGAAAATCGATGTAACAAATACAGTAGGACTACAGGATATAAGATACTTGGCATACAGATTTAGAAAACAATTTATAGAGTTATAGACAAGTTATAGACTAAAATATTATAAACCTTCACACATAATAAGTCACCAGTAAACGAAGCATGTAGTAATGATGCCTGCATGGAAGACCTAAACAAAGGCTATAGAAAATAACAGAAAGACCTAATAAAACAGTCTTGCAGTAAATACCAGTTCTGTAATTGGTCTAATGACATTTCATGTATCATGTTGCCATTAAAACACATATGTTACTCAAATAATGATAGTTTGATGTCTACTATAGCAGACACACAATGCTAGTAGTAATCAGTGGAATAATATTGTAGTTTCTGTTTTACCTTCAACACCTGCAAAGGGGAAAAGTCTCCAAAATAAAGAGGTTGTTACAGGACACCCACCAACAAAAGCTGAAGACACAAAATGACTCAAACTGACCATAAAAAAAACTGAACATTATTGACAACATTGACCAAACTGGTATATAGTGCAGGGCTAGTGTAATGTGCTGTAAGGTGTTTGTGTTTTTTGTCCAGCACTTGTAACTCTCAGTACTGTACCTCTCAATACAAGAGAGAGGACCTGACAGTGGAAGAGACTTTCATATACAGTGATATGTCGCCATCTAGAGGAATGTAGTGAAACACAATCCAAATAAACAAACATCTTTGCCTGTGTCATTTTTTGAAGACTACAGGAATATAAACACATAAAAGGTTCAACAATAACCATCATAAATCCTTCAAATTGTACAGAAATGGGAGCCATTTCATACAACACTGTATATTAGCACAGGGTTTGTTTGATAACCTACCTTAAAATTATTAGTTGTAACAGTTTGTCTATTCAACAACTTTGTTAAAACACCCAAATGGAAAGATTTATATAAACTAAAATCTCAGATTTATTTTCATATTTCTTTATTGTAAATTGAACAAAAAACTAAATAATAGGAGAGCTAACATACTTATTAGATGGGTTGTACTTACTTTAGTTTGCTCTTTATGTTGTTTTTAATGCTCATAATCCAGGGATTGGTAGCTTATTCTACTTTTCCACTGATTGTTAAGATGTATCGGCAATTGTATCTACTATGTGCCAAATGTGTGAAGCATAAATGGTTGAAATCCCATTTTAATTTGTTTCTCTACACAACAGGTCAGTATTTTCCATATGCTGGAAACACTTTAGAAGACAGCAACACACATACAAAATCTGACTTTTTCAGTCATATTTGTCCAGATTGTAGCAGCAAAAATCTGAAATGCTGGCATTGGTCTGCAGATCATGGTGCCCATATTTCTCACAGACCAATGCTGACTCCTCGTGCTCTCTCAGTCTGTTATAATGGCTTTAGAGAAAGTGACCCTAGATCTCTCAAATTCAGGATGAAAAATACTAAATATCCATTCAATAGTTTATGTAAATCAATAAAATGTAAACCAGTGGTGAACAGTCCTACCTGATCAGCTATTCTGCGTCCACCAATAAAAGGAGGCCAAAGTCTCTGAACCTCCAGCAGTACTCTATGCAGGTAATCAGGGTCTTCCATTGCTCGCCGACGTGTCTTCTCCTGAACATGGAGAAAAGGATTTTTGTTTGTTCATTTCATTTAAAAGCAAAGGATACTGGTCAAGAAAAGTCAGTTAAAAAGCAAAAAGAGCCACAAGAGCTGTGTTTGTGTACCTGTTCGTTTCCACTGAGTGCCAGTGTGAAGGAGGTGAGCAGTGACGCCAGAGCTTTGGGGATCAGAGCTGAGATGAACAGCAGGAGATGCTGGGAGGCAGAGTTGGAGTCCGGCAGTGGCAGAGAGCCAAGACGGCCGACAAAACTGGAGAGAGCCAGCGAGAGCAACATTAAGATTAAGATGTCAAGTTCAACAAATCAGTTCTTATGAACAGAATAGTTACTAAGCAAATAAGCACATAATCAACAGCCTCTGACAGTGTACGATTTATGGCACAGAGAGTTTTATACATTAGTATGTCCTTGCAAGAGCCAAATACAGCAATCCAATTGCGAAGGTGTGATAGAAGCCAGTTGAAACAGGTTTTTAGCACATCTTGATGTTGTGCAACCAACTTACTGTTACAGGTCTCCACTAAACTATATATTCAAAAAAAGGTTTGTCTGCCTGTTTTTTTATTTTTTTATTTTTTTTTAAGTATTATTTTTTTGGCCTTTATGCCTTTATATTGACAGTGATAGCTGGAGACGAGACAAGGATAGAGGCAGAGAGAGAGGGGATGACATGCAGCAAAGCCGCAGGTCGGACTCGAACCTGGGCCGCTGCGTATATGGGTTGCCAGCTCTACCGACTGAGCTAACCGGGCGCCCAGGTTTGTCTGCTTGTGTGTGTTTTGTACCACATGGTACGAAAGATAGTTATATCTGTAGTATGAACTGAGTTTCATTATATGGGCAGTCTCACCCCTGCTTGTCATTCTCCAGTTTATCTTTGATGATGTCCATCAGTTTGTCTCTGGCATCCAGAGCGGTGGAGAAACCCGACGACCACAGGGGAACCTTCACGTTCACCGGAGCAGAGATCAAACCTGCAGGGGTGGAAGAGGATGTGTTAATAAATTTACTGAACTGAAATGAAAGGGGAAGCTGGAGATTTTGCAACACTGTATTGCAGAACAACAAAACTGACTAACTAAATAAGTCTGCACGAGAGCGAAAACCCTTTTGGAGCACTTCATTTGATCTGAACAGAAAGAATAGGGGGCTGCTTATAAGGTCAAGGGCAGCCCTGCACTCACACATCTAAACCTGGCTGTGTATTTATAAAAAATGGTCATGAGTTGTGTGTGTGTGTGTGTGTGTGTGTGTGTGTATCTTACCATGCCAATGCTGGGTGCAGAGCTGTACGATTTCCTGGTAAAGTTCAGGCTGCTCGTCCGCTTGCACGTTCAGAAACAGGCCCAAAACCAACTCTGTCCCAAGACGCTTAAAGGCAGAGTACACACATGCTGGCTGGCCACTTCACATATACGCACACACATTCACACATAGATTAGTTGCGTACATTATCTTTACAGTCCCAAAACAATTAGCCTGTAATGTAAACATGAAGTGACTTGAATAAAAGGATGCTAACAATCACACAATGGACTGAAAATAACAATATCAATCACACAATGACAATATATGTTCATATTTCAAAGAAGACAAACAAACACAAGAAACCAAAGCCGACAGGAATATGAGGAATTGTGGAGATGGGTGTTATTATTATACAACTATTCAAAACCTAACTGTTGTGTGGCTGCTGTGTACCTTGCTTATTTGTGCACACAACCTTTACACCTCCCCAATCATGTTTTTGCTGTTATTGTTTATCCAAATTTTATATTTTAGTTTTACAGCTTGGGAAACAACTTGTACATCCCTAGAATGAATCTAAATGCTTTGACTGCTGGAGGTTTAGTACAAGTGTTACCTAAGAGAAAGGTCCTTCAGACAGCGCTCACATACACTGTGGAGAGAAAGAGGTAGAAACACACACAGGCACACAAACATTAGTAAGTTTCTTAATAATAAAATAATAAATGAATGTTGTAGCAGTGCATTTAGCTACATTCTGTACATTGTAGTAATAAGATCAGCTACATTCACTTGTTATTCCAGCATTTCAATCATATTACACAGAGTTAATGTAGATTGTGGAGTCTTGCTTAAGAAACCTTTGACATGGTTGGACACAGCAACAACTGTTGCAGCAATACAGGCTTTGCAGTTGTGTAACAAATGTCCTTGCTACCATTTTTAGTGTCATCATGGACATCCACTGAACAAGAGGCTCTAAATACACAATTAGAGTTTAAAAAAAAAAGTGAATTAGCTCCATGGCTTTTGAAACTCAGGTTTGACTGTGAACCATGTGACTTTCAGGGTCATAAACTACACATCAGCACATACAACAACATATAATATGAATGAATGCGTAATACCCCTACCTGGTGATATAATCACTTGATGATTCCAAACAACTTCCTGCGAACAGGCTGGTAAGAGACAGACGCAGAAGACATGCCTCCTCACCTAAAACACACAAATACAAGCTACTCATGTTTATAAAGGCAGAGCTGAATTTAAGCATATTTTTCCAGTTACACTTATTGTTGTGAGTGGCTAGAGTTATTTTTCTTTTTTTTGTGGAAAGTATTAGTATCATTTGCTTTAGAATATTTTCTCTTGTTTTGGTTATACATTCTGTATGACTGATGCTTTTTTTCAAGAAAAAACATTAACAGCGGTGGTTTCTCGGCCTAACAGACACTGGTTTCTTCGTCCAATTTGCTATTTTAAACTAAACTGTGTATAAAATACATTTCTGAAGAACCAGAGATGGTTTTCATTCAATCTGTGTTCGCCTGACAGCAATGATAGGCATTTATGTGGCAGTATACCGTTTAGGGCAGCAACAACAATTACTTTCAAGATCAGTTCATCTACTTTTAACAGTTAATCTTTCCAAGGTGATGCCTTCAAATGTTTTGTTTTGTTCAACCATCACTTCAAAACCAAAAGATATTGAGTTTACTATCATAGAAGAAGAAGAACATCAGAAAATATTCACAATTACGGTAAAGGCACTGGCAAATGGTTAACCAGTTCTGCTTGAAAAATAACTGTTGCTGATTAAGTTTGGTCAATCAACCGTGTTGATTGCTGCTAATGCTGTAATATTTGAGCGCCTCCTTAGAAGCCCAGTTTTTACCTATTTGTGGGGGTTTTTGTGTTTACCATTAGCAGTGACAACGGTGTCTCCATACATGTTGGTCATCAAGTCAGTTGGATCCTTCAGAAACAAGCTGGACTTCTCTGAAACGCACAACATAACATTTATTACTCACACACACGCTGAATACATACTGTTCACCCACTCGCTATCAGACACATAAAGTCCATGTTGGGGTTTGATTCTGCCTGCAGGTTTGTGTGGGCTATACAAAGCAGGCTAGCAGGACAACACACAGCTTAAAAATGAGATAGGAAATGAAATCAAGGTTGGACATATTATATATCTAAGGGGATTGCAGTGTACGTACACACAAAGACTCTTTTAGGAACATTTATTTCCCCATCTGCTTGGAAAGTAAAATTCAGTCATTAAAGTGTAGTTAATTGTCTAGACTTTAGAGACTATGAGTAATTGTTAATTGTTTTATAATGTCTTGTGTATTATGTATGTATCTCAATACAGTGTTCCACTATTTCTTTTATTATTTCCTCATATGATATGAAATTATTCCATGAGATTTCCTTGTTCACAAATTTTAGAAAAAACTGAATATAAAACGCAATAAGGAATAAAAGATGTTGTATTCCTGTATATTTCTCTCCCTACCTATGTTACAGGTATTGAAAAACAAATGTGGTTGCCGAAAGTCAGATACAGTATTGGCACTGATATCTAAATAAGCAAAGTCCTTCTTTAACGGCTGTCTAATGAATAATAAGTCCTATGACTTATAATAAGTTACATTGCACATTAACGTGAGTTTATGGCAACTTCATTAAGGTTTATTGTATGTATTATTTCTCATTTCCTATTTTCCCTCCTTATACTCTAGACTACTAGAATACTAGATGATTTTCTTTGGTTTTTCTGTATTTTCTTTTAATATTCTTTAACATATGTTGGAGTTATAGATAGGGTAGCAGACTGTATTAAGACTACAATAAGACTTCATCTGAGTAATATCCTCCCTAACCCCCCTTCAGAAACATCACGAGTCTCTCCCATGACAAATCAGACTAATCTCGGGGTGAATTACAGAGGAAATTTCCCTTTTGTTCCTATGCCTGAGAGCAAAATCTGACTCATTATCCTAAAGCAAAGGAGACAAGGTCCTTATAAGCTCTCTAGAAACTACAGACACACTAAGTCCCCTGTAAGAATATAAATGTGTATTGACACAGGTTTGATTAAACCAAACAGGTATCAACTCTAATTAATTTATCAATAATGATCAGAACTATTGCTCACACTATAAGACCCAGCCTATGAGTCACCACTAATGATCTTGTGATTTATTTTTTATGTTTTTTGTCGTTAGGAACAAACATGGTAATGCTGGTGCTCACCTGTGGCACACACACACACTATACTTCATACACAGCCGTACAGAGGTACACACCAGACAGCAGCTCTCTCATCCCCTGCACGGAGCAGAGGAAGGCGGTCGGTCTGTTCAGCAGCCGGCACTGAAACACTCTGCTCCGGTGTTTCTCGATCCTCTGCCGGCAGAAGCCCACCGGGTCCCGGTAAAACTCCAACGACTTGTCCCCGAGCACCGAAACACCTGCATTTCCTGGTAGTTTAGCCATTCAGGGCCGACGTATGCGTAGAAAACGGGATTTTACCGAGGTTTTTTTTTTAATTTTAAAGGTGGATTCAATCAGGATGTTAACCGCTGCACGCTTAAACAACAGTGGTTCTAAACTTTATTAAGACCCGGTCCCGGTTCACAGTAAACCCTGCTGTCATCGCCTGCTAATGTTTTTTATTGCGCTGGCTCCAGGAGCGACCTGTGTGTCAGATTACTGCTATCTCATTGGTGGCACTGTTTTTTTCTGACGTAACTGAATGCATCCCGCTGCATCGGAGAGTGGCGCGTTCAGGAGCTGTCCGTAATTTAGGGCTTGCACTTCTGGCACGACTACAACAGCTGTATGCTTCATTGACTGTCATGACTACAGGCTGGTTCAAAGGTCCAGTGTGTAACATTTAGGAGGATCTATCTAGTTATTCGATAGTTTTCATTAGTGTATAAGCACCTAAAAAAAAATAAGAGTAGGCTATGTGTGTTTTTGTTACTTTGAATGAGACGTTTCCATCAGAGGGAATGGGTCTCCTTCTACGGAGTCTGCCATGTTGAACTGCCATGTTTGTACTGTAGCTACCTGGCTTAGTATATCTTTTCAACACTACAAGTGTAATACACTATGTCTAATGTACAATTTAATTTCATGTTGTTTTGTTGCACTCCATAGTTTCACATTTATTGTCCCACGTGGATAGAGCCGTGTCCCGACCGAAAAAACGACTCAGACACTGATATTGTTATCATTTCTGCATAAAGGTTTAGTTGTTTGAATAAATTCTATTTTATGTTTTTGCCACACTATACGCCTCTTATTTAGCAGCGTTAAAAGCACTCAACAAACCAACACATCAAAGATTCTGCATATATGTGTGGTGCTTTATATCTGGATGGGTTTAAGTGTTGGTTTTCGTATGTATCTCATGTTGGCTCCAGGCTGTGAGGGTTTGAAGGGGGCCTTGGCTCCATACGGTTTGGGGAGAGGGAGAGGACCGGTCTGGGGGATGTATGCAGTGGGGCGTGCTTTAGCCTGGGTGTAGTCTCCGTTGGGCAAGAGGTTCCATTCCTCTTCTACAGCCAACCTCTCTCCCTCCTCTTTCTCCCTTTGTCTCCTCATCTTATCTCGGAGCATCCTCCTCCACTCCTCCTCTAGCTCAGGGTATGGTAGCAAGCCCTGAACTGTTGTGCTGTCTGTTTTCGTCATTCCACTGAAAGTCCTGGCAGGCTGCGGCAACAACCCGCAATGAATTCCAGTTGTTGGAGGAGGAGCTGGAGCAACAGGTGGTGTTGCTGCAGGGTTGCTTTTAGGTGCCGCACTGAGACAGGGGACTCTTCTCCAGGGTTGTGGAGCTGCTGAAGGAGGACAAGAGGTAAGGGGTGTGTGGAGAGGTGAAACCTTCAATCCCAGCCTCTCCAGCACAGCATCAGTGCGTCTCTTTGCGATAGCACACAGCCTCTCTGTCTGACTCAGCAGAGCCGCCATCTCAGCCCTAGACTGACCGAAGACACCAAAGCTGTCTTGTCTCTGGTGCTTCTGTGTTTAAAAAAGAAGCAATTTCAAATGTGAAATCAATTGAATTCAAATAACAATAACATTTTACAAGTGGTTTGGTTGTTTTAACAGTTTCCGTATGCTAAACTGAATAAACCTTTAAACAAATATTAAGTACACACAAAGTGTAAAACATTTCATGCTCAGTTCTTGTTTCATGTTGTCAGTTGTTAAAACTTTTCAGAATAAATGTAAAATACTGCTTATTTGGGCCAGTAATTACACACTTAAACCAGCAGAGCTATTAGATGCTCTGTATGCATCTCTGAAAAACATTCAGATGTGAACAGCAGAAGGTTTATAGAATAAAACAGTTGGTTGTACTTACACTATCACCATCAGACCTCCTTCTCCTCCCGAAATGATGGAAGATGTCTGAAGCCATAACTATCACTAAAGTTTTACTTTCACCAATGAGTAAGAAAAACTGAGTATTTTGACTAAACTAGATCAGGTTTTGGTTCTGCAGCTGTACATTCTTTGTGATTTCACAGTGAGGCCTGAACACTCTAAAACTATGGAACATTCTAGTTCTAATGGTGCATAGAAGGAAAATATCATAAGAAACTGAATCTTTATCAAAAACAAGTATTTCTGGTGCTGTGTGGAGCTGGAAACCTGGTTTTATTTCAAAAACAGATTCAGATTCAAAGACAGGTATAATACTGATCCAAACCCAGTTTCACCTCTCACTCTGCTTACAGCAGAGAACCCAGATTGCTGGCCCAGGGCCTTTCCCAGCCCTGCATTGCCCTCCCTCTGTCCGCAAAAATATGTGAAAAATATGTTATAATCTGGCCTGCATCGTCTTATTTTTTAAATATCTTTTCTAGTTAATTCAATATGAACTACCTCTTCTTACTCAATTAAAATAAAAACACAATTTTGTTTTTGTTTTCCTGTATAATTCTTGCATCCATTTTTTTATCATCTGATTAGCTGCCTTCGGCTTGTGGTGATACTTGAGTATGTTATTTAAATCACTAGTAAGTTGTAACTAATGGATTAATTATTATTTATATAGTTAATACATCATTTACGAATGATGAAAAAATGGAAATGGACTGTAAGTTCTTGTTGAGGCTATCAACATACTTTGTATAATTGTCAGAATGGTCCATGCATGAAGATTAATTAATGTGCAGTTGTTGCATAATGAAAAATCGAATTATGGGGGGTATTTCTTAATTTAATTTCCTAAGACAAGCAATACAAATCAGCATGCCAAAGCATCAGCTTGTTCCATTATCCAACTTGTACAATGGAAATTGAAGGAAGTCAAGAGCTGAAAACAGAGACAGCTCACCTTCAAAGTAATGGTTTTACATATTGAAACTTAAATATTGTAATATTGTTAATAACACCATTAACATATCTGGCCCTAGGTGTATTCTCTGTCCACTACTTATTTAAGTAATGGGCATGTAAAAACTGCTGTTGTACAACAGAAGAAATGATGGGGAGGGAAAATAATCTGCTTTGTTACCTTGTGTCCCTGATTTGTGAAAAACTTGTTATACCACAAATATTGCTGTTGCATTTGTTTTTTCTTTTTGGTTTATAATAGGAAAGAGCTCATGGATTTCTGTTTTGCGGGATTGGAGAACTGCAAATAAAATAACGTATGTTTATATGACTGAGCTCTGTTGAAGGGTCAGAGGCCATCAGTGTAGGGTAGCAAAGGATTGCATGTAATAAATAAGTAACTATAAGCAGCCCAAAAACGCAAAGGGTGTAATTAGATTATATATAGACATTGTTGTCAAGGATTTGTCAAGGACCTAAGCTCCCAGATCAGAACCTACTGTTCACAAACATGATAAAAATTTATTCCATACGGCTGTGATTTTGGACCATCTGAGCAACACTGCGACCAATAATTGAACTACTAGTTAATTTTTTAGTTTTAGATAACTTTCCCTCACGTCAAACACTTAATTAACAGAATATTATGGTAGTTACATGAACTGGCCACCAGGCGGTAGCAAACATCCTGCAAGAAAAGTGTTTTCTGCATTGCAAGGTGCCGCATAAACTGAAGCACCTTTCTCATCATGCTCTTAAAATCATTTCTGTATTTAACATAGGTATATAAAAAATATATAAAAACACTAGATATAGACATAGGTATAGAATCTTGTGTTTGAGTCAAAGGCAAGATCAGAGCCCTAAAACATTAGCAGTAGGAAGCAAGTCTGAAATGTTTATGTTTATTTTTCATGAACTTGAAAAAAGGGAATAGCCAGACAGTTCTGTCCTCCTTTTGGATTTACAATGAACTAATCAGGTCTACTGTATATCTCCTTTTGGTGCATCAACACTTTCTCTACAACCACTATTGCTGTGCACAAGCATGTCTGGACTGTGCTTTCTCAAGAAAAAAATTAAAGTTTATTTCAAACTGATCACATGATCATAATGAGGACTCAGGACCTGAAGAATAAGAACGCATCAGTGATATGAACTCATTTGTTTCCATAAATCATATCGACCAATTATGACACCTCATAAATGCATTATGCAACATGATCTGCAAAATAAATGCCATTACATGAAAAGAAAAACCTGAAGTAAAAATAGCCATGACTCATCTGTGAAAAGATTGAGCCATATCCTACTTATTTATATGTACACAGTATGAAAGTTTTTAAACACTAAACCCTAACCCTAACCCTAACCCTAAACAAACACGAAAATGGCAAAACTCGATACAAAAAACAATAACCAGTTAAGATGCAATCAAACAATATAGACATTATGTTCCAAAACAGTCTAAAAAATAAAAGAAAAACATTACATTTAACAGCAAACACACTGACCAAGAGTACTAGTTCCAGATACTTCCTTTTACAAAAATGCTAAAGATTAAGAACTTCTTGGTAGAACTGCTTATAAGAGAGCTTTTCAACTTTTGTTTCAAGTGCTGTAAGGTGTGTTTAAAGAGCCAACATCTCTGCTTGAAGCCAAAAATGTTTAACTGATTTGTCACTGGAAGTTGTAATCGAGCCAGGAGTTGCACTGCTCGTAGTAGTGCTGGTAGAAGTATCAGCACAGAAAGGCCGGTTAGAAAATGTGGAAATGTACAGTGTATGTTTCACAACAGATCCACTGTAGTTTTTATGACCAAGAATGCAACAAGTAAAGTGACAGCTGATCACGCGTGACAGCTTCTACAACACTGATTCATCTTGTGATAAAACAAGATGGTGGTTATGGGGATGAGTATGCAAAGTTCTGTCTGGTTGGTTGACATACCTCTCATACTTCCTTCAACTGCTCCTTGGTTGTCAAAGCTCAAACCTGGTTTGAAAAACAAATTCTACGAACAACAAAGGATCCCAACTGCTTCAAGAACATGTGACTTGCTGGTTTGAATTGTTATTGTCAACACAATAATGTGCTTGTGTAGCCTACATTTCACACACTTAAAAGGGAAAAAAACACACTAAACTAATGGAACTAATGGCAATGCAACCGATGCAACAATGTAGTCTCTGCATGCTGTTCTCAGCTTGTTCAGTTCCTTAGAAATGTAATCACACATGTATGAGGTTCATAATGTTGATGGGTGTGTGAGAGCAGGGCGAGAGTGTGACTTTCACTCTTCTTTCAGGGTCTGTACACAATGATTTCATGAGAGTTGTTCATGTTTGGGGGTTTTGG